TTTCTTCTAATTTTTTCAGGTAAAAAGGAGAAACTATGTAAACGCCCTTCATAAGGGGGGGGAGAGAGCGGCATAGGCGGAGCAGATGGAGTTGCTATCGCTTTTGCTGAGGCCTTGCCCTTGGGTAGCAGTTTAGAGAAAAACTCCCCATCCGGGTGATATCTCTCCGCCTCGTACTTTGTAGCCTCTTCTTCTAGTTCTGTCTCATCTCCAGGGCCTAGAGAGTCTTGTTCGGAATCAGAAGACTCAGAACTGGTGGAGCTGCCGAGGTTCAGCGCCTCCAGTTCTTTAAAAGGATACATTTGACCTGTCCCTTTAGTGGAAAGGCCAGGAAGGGCATCTGGTTTTGCTATAATGTTCTCTCCTAAAACAGGAGGGCTCTTTTTCTTAGTTTTTCTTTTGTATACCTCCGTTTTCTCGCTGCGCCTGACCTCTCACTACGTTCGGTTTCTGACATGCTATCCTGGGTTACCTCGAGAATGGCCTGACCCTCTACAACGGCCGCCTGGCAAGCTTCATCCTCAATACAGTTCTTCACTAGTTTCCATACTGCCTTGGTCCCTATCCTTAGGTCTCTTTGCTCTAGGTGTCGATCAAGATCCCTCCCCAACTTATTCCATGATGCCAGGGTGAGAGAGCCAGAAAGGGCATACCAGGGTGCCACACGATCGACCTCCTTGACAAAGCTCCGTAACGTCTTTCTGTCAACCTTGATATTCCTCTGCTTTAATACAGTCTCCAAGGTAGTTAATATGGATTGAGAGGACCCCATGGTGGCTGCAGCTTATCTACGTCTGACTAATCACCACCGTTACCAATGGTACAGATGACCGCGGCTTATCTACGTCCGTCTTACAGCAAATGGGGAAAAACGAAAGCAAAGGACAGAAGAGACTGTTCAGGCCCCTTTATCTACAGGAGGCTTAGGTGACCAGTATAAAGAAGACAAGAACAATACCAAGGAGGACGATTGCTTCAGGCAAACCCTCCCAAGGCGGAGACAACCCCAGACCAAAGTCCCAGATCAGCATACCTCTCCGAACTTACCTGCCTGCAGTTCTGAATCCTCCTCGTTTCCAAGGGGTCTTCGATGGTGCGGACGATGGCTTGGTCAGTTTCCCGGGTTTCGGCACCAGTTGTCCCGCGCTCTATCTCGCCCGCAAGAATGACGCGGCACACGATCAGGATCCTTCTGCAGTAAGCTTTATTGCTCCTGAGAGGAGGAGCATAAGCTATCACAAAGCGAAGACCCCACGCCCTAACGGGACTCTCCTTATATAGAGAGTTTCTCTCGCCTCGGACGTGGCAGTTAATTACTGGTCCAATTATGTCACCCGAGGTGATGTAAGGCACAGGCACCCCCGGCCTCGTGGGCAGGGAGCTCCTGCTCATGTGCAGCAGGGTTGTCATTGCAACTGTCAGGCGGATGTCAGCGCCATCTCGCCATGGCGTGGTTCCAGGGCAGCGCCCAACACCACATACCACATACACATACCACACACATTACACACACACATATACTACATACACATACCACACACATTACACGGTGTACATATACACACACATATAGCACACACACCACACATACACACATACATCACATACATATCACATACATATGCCACATATATTGTATATATTATATATATGCGCACACACACTGCACACATAACCATATACACTCCACACACACCACATATACCACAATGCATGCTTACACATATATCATACACACACCACACACATATACACATATGTTATACACATGCACATACCACATATACAACACTATGTGCCCACACATACACACTTCAGACATACACACACATATAGAGCATACTTACACACACACAAATATATACCACACACACATACACACTCATTGACATGCACACACAAAAGAAATAAATGAGAATAAAGAGGTATTGTCTAAGGAGACAGATGGAGTCAAGTAGATTTAAATTGCACAATGTAGTCATGTATGAAAACATCACACAGCCCAACCAATACTTACAACTTTTTCAATTTAAAATATATTTTAATTAAGAAAATGTCTTCCTATATTTGTCACATGCTCCTTGAAGCTCCTTGAAGCTAAAACCCACTTCGGTGTCTTTGGGCAAGGGGTTTAGGGTGCACCCTAGTGAGACCTGCACAGATTTCGGGGACTTCTGGCAGCAGGGTGTCCTTACACTCTCCACTGGACATTTTGACATATGACAATGTGTTAAATTTAAATTTCACAATCACAGTTAGCAGCAGGAGTCACAGGAAAGGCTCCTGGGTGAAGTCACTGGTGGATGGTAGAGTGGGGAGGATGGGAGACTTGGCTTCCCAACTGCTTTCCCAAACTTCTAGATGCATAGCCTTGGTCCTGGCCGTCCAGTGAGCTCTGCAGCCCAAACCAGCATGGGCTGAGTTTTCCTGTGCACACCCCAGTATACCCAGGCAACCAACCTTGGAGAACTCTACTTGGTAGATAGAATCAAGATTCCCCGGAGCACCTGATGGTGGTGGCACACACGCACCTTTAATTCCTGCACTCAGGAGGCAGAGGATGGGAATGGTGGCGCACACACCTTTAATTCCTGCACTTAGGAGGCAGAGGCGGGCAGATCTCTGAGTTCTAGGCCAGTGTGGTCTACAGAGCAAGTTCCAGGAGAGAGAGAGGACTGAGATTGATTGATTCACTAGGAATCTCATCACAGGCAATCTCTCCAGTTCTTTGCAAGCTTGGTTCTAGAACATTCTCTATGTGTTCAAATTTTATTCTAAAAACATTCTACCGTTCTCAAAAAATCCTTTCTATTTCTGTTATTCAGATCCAGAGAAAAGTACTGTGAGAGCATTGGAGATTCTGGTCCTCCTGTTGGCTAAGCCAGCGGCAGATACCAGCCTTCCTAGCTGTGTCCCCACAATAGGTTGCAGTGAAACCTGTTTGCTATACCCAACTGTGTTACCTGTGCTGCCGCCAAGGCCCATAGAAAAGACCAAACCTCATGGTAACAGGTCAGGAAGCAAATCAGCTTGGAACGTATTCGTGTGTGTGTGTGTGTGTGTGTGTGTGTGTGTGTGTGTGTGTGTGTGTGTGTGTGTGTGTGTTTGACACAGAGTCTCTTCTCTCTCAGAATGGCCTTGAACTCACTATGTAGCAAGGATGACCAAGAACTTCTGATCCTACACTTCTCTTGGGCTGCAGTTACAGATGTGCACAACTACTTTTGTCTTATGCCAAGCTGGAGAAAGAACCGTGGCCTTCATGCATTCTAGACAAGCACTACCGACTGCACCACAACCCTGGCCCCAGGTTCTTCTACGTACCCAGGCAGCACCACAAAGGGACTGTGTTACAGGCAGCTACACTGCCCCCATCACCCCCAAGAACCACAAGACCCATCAGGAGATGGGAACTAGACAAATGGGCAAGAACAGCTGGGGCTATCGGGGTCGTCGGATTCCTGGCTGCAGCCGTCCTCTGTGGCCCCTGGAAGCCGCATCTCCCTCTGTACCTCGGCTGTCTCATCTTACAAAGACAGACCACGTCAGCTTCTCAGGAAGATCGTGAACTTGAGCAGTGATGACACAGTCTGACTGGCTTGATAATGTGTTTCAACTTGTTGAGGTGTACCCATGAGATAATTTTATTTTTATAGTAATTGGTACCCAATTCAACAGAGGTCTCTGTCGAAACCTCTACTTTCCCTCTGGGCAGAAGTAGCAATAGTAGGAGTTGAGGTGGCAGGAGCAGGCATGGAGGGGATAGCGAGCTGTTACACAGCCTGCTGCACCCAGAGTCCTCCTTGATCTCAGGAGGAGAGATTCAATACCTGTCTGGACCTTACAGACCTGGAGCCTGGAGTTTGTGAGTGTGCCTCCAAGACAGGCTGAACCCCAAGACAAGCAACCTTGATGGAATGAGCTTCTGTCCATCTCCCTCAGATTCCACACCCTGTCAGGTTCTCCAGACTCAAATCTCAAGGTTTAAAACCTTGGAAGGGCTGCGGAGATGGCTCAGAGGTTAAGAGCACTGACTGCTCTTCCAGAAATCCTGAGTTCAATTCCCAGCATCCACATGGTGGCTCACAACCATCTATAATGAGACCTGGTGCCCTCTTTTGACAAACTGGCAGAACAATGTATACATAGTAAATAAATCTTTAAAGAAAAAAAAACTTGGAAGGGCTAGAGAGATGTGTCAGTGGTTTAGATTGGTGTGGTTTCTGTTCTAGAGGACCTTAGTTCAGTTCCCAGCACCCACACCACACCCAACTCACAACCATCTGCAACTCCAGCCCTCTTCTGGCTTCTGTGGGAACACACACACACACAAACACACACACACACACACACACACACACACACACGGCATACAGACACACACATTGGTTACATTAGCATGCTCGGTTTGTAGAAACCCTTCAAACTGTGTATTTATTAATGTGTGTGATGTTTTTCTACGTGTGTGTGTGTGTGTGTGTGTGTGTGTATATGTACTTTTAATTCAGGAAAGAATTTCCAGGACTGGGGATACTGCTCAGTGCCTGCCTCTTGCAAGCCTGATGACAGAGTTCAGGTTCCGAGAATTCACATAAAAGCCGAAGTCGATAGTACATGTACCTAGAATCCCACCATTTCTACAAGAGAGAGGGAGGCAGAAACAGGACGATCTCCTGATGCTCGTGAGCTAGCTAGCATGGCAGATGCAGGAGTATAGAGACTCAAAGAAGGTGGCAGGCAAGGACTGACACTTGAAGGGTGTCCTCTGACCATCCCCATTCACATGTGTGAACATGAACACATACATACATACATACATACATACATACATACATACATACATACACACACACACATACACTCACACATCACACACCTACACAGACAGGAGGGTTTCGAGTTTGAAGCCATCCTGGGCTGCCTGGGATGTCCAGGTCTGCCTTAGCTACAGGACCAGACCCTGTATCAAAGGAGAAAATAAAATCATTTGCACTTGGTCATAACTTTACATTTTTCATTGAAATCTCAGATTTGGTTCAGAGCTTATCTGCATGTTGTCCGGGACCTCCTCCTCCAGTGCAGCTGGACTCCAGGTGGAGGGACAGCGTACATTCTCCTCACAGGAGAGGAAGGAAGATGACACTCTGCTTAATGGCTTCTCCATGGGGCCTGCAGGGAGCTGGCTGGCCCTGGTGACCTTTGAACTTAGCCTGGGAAACTCCAGGGACCCTTAACTTCACCTCACGGCTATGTAAAGGACCTGGCCCAAAGCAGGTGTGATGGAATCCAGGATAGGAATCTCAAACCTTGTTTAGGTCCGGGATTAGATGTCGCTATTCTAGAGGTGCCAGGAATGCTTGGGTTCTGAGTTCAAAAGAAGACATTTGACAACAAGTTGGGAAAGATGAAGCTACCACCTTCTGTCTTCTGCTGAGTCCCTGGTGCTGTGTCCTCTGCAGCAGGCATGGCTGGGAGCACCATGCCTGAGGCCTCAGTGGTGGTGGTGGGAGATGCGGAGGCAGGCATTATGAGTAGCCTCTCATTGGTCCCTCCAGGGATTCTGGGAGACTGCCCTGGTCTTCCGTCTGCCTGTGAAGCAGGTTGGTGAGCTGGTGGACACCCCCTCTCATGTCACCAGCACGGGATGCTACGGGGGTGCTCTGAAGGCTGAGCCCTGCTCTCCTCACAGGGTCCTGGAGGAAGGAACAGAGTCACTCAGGGGCCTGAGCAAGTGACCAGTCACAGAGCTATGGGGAGATTGCCGAGGGTAAAAGGGCTGCGGTGGGTTTGCTGCAGGGTCGATGGCCACCAGGCCCTGCACAGTTCATTCTGCAGGGAAACTACGCCCCAGGTTGTGGGAGCTGCAGTCAACCCAATGTAGCCAAAGGTCAGCCTGGGTCATTATTTTCCTACAGACCAGGCCTCATGTAGTCCAGGCTGGCCTCCAACTCAATATGTAGGTGAGGGTGACCCTGAGTTTCCGATCCTCTTGATTCTACCTCCCAAGGGCTTGGATTACAGGCATGCCCCGCCAGGCCTGACTTACACGGCGCTAGGGACTGGACCCGGTGCTTTCCCACATGCTAGACGAGAGCTCTGCCAACCAAGCCACATCCTTGGGCCTGAAAGCATTCCTGAGGAGGGCAGAAAGAGGCTGGGAGTGGATCAGCCACAGCTCAGAGCAAGAACAGACAAGTGACCGCAGAGCTCAGGGACAGCACAGCCAGACTTCTCAGAAGTGCAAGCGGGGAGAGGACTCGCTTTCCAGTCACGTCCAAAGATGGGGAGGGACCACACAGTGTGGCTGGTGAGGAGAGAGGGAACCAGCCCTGCTGCCTGACAGAGACAGAGAAAGCCCTGGAGAATGGCAAATGATCCGACAGAGGGAAAATTACAGGGCTGGAGAGGAGCCTAGGACAGAGGAGGAAACAGAGCGTCCGGAAAATGACAGACAAGATGATGGGAGGCAGAAGCCTGCTGTCTCAGCGCATGGGAATCTGAGGCAGGAGGATTGCCTCAAGTTCAAGGCTACTCTGGGTTTTACGGGAGACCCCGGTCAATATGTGCTCACCAGACCGTCAGCACGAACTTTCAGCAGCGAGGAGCACACCAGGTGTTTCTTCCGACTGTGCATCAAGCTGTTGCCGTGAAACGTGTCACCCGGCAATCAGAAAGAAATTAAGAAAATGAAAAACGCCTCCTCAAAGGCTGGACGCTAATCCGTGGTTCCCATGGTTCCCGAGCCTCTTCCTGTTCGCCTTCCTTTTCCTAAAATGGCCCCGGTCAGAGAGGGATGGGGATGAGGAGGGCAGGGGAAGGGGTTCAAAAGGGGCGGGAACTGAGAACGGGGCTGACCTCATGTCCCTCTGCTCACACTCTGCTCACACTCTCTCTGCTCACACTCTCTGTGCTCACACTCTCTGTGCTCACACTCTCTGTGTTCACACACTCTCTGCTCACACTCTCTGTGCTCACATTCTCTCTGCTCACACTCTCTCTGCTCACACTCTCTCTGCTCACACACTCTCTGTGCTCACACACTCTCTCTGCTCACACTCTCTGTGCTCACCCTCTGCTCACACTCTGCTCACACTCTCTGTGCTCACACTCTCTGTGCTCACACTCTCTGTGCTCACACTCTCTGTGCTCACACTCTCTCTGCTCACACTCTCTGTGCTCACACTCTCTGTGCTCACACTCTGCTACTCTGCTCACACTCTCTGTGCTCACACTCTCTCTGTGCTCACACTCTCTGTGCTCACACACTCTCTGTGCTCACACACTCTCTCTGCTCACACTCTCTGTGCTCACACTCTCTGTGCTCACACACTCTCTGCTCACACTCTCTCTCTGCTCACACTCTCTCTGTGCTCACACACTCTCTGTGCTCACACTCTCTGTGCTCACACTCTCTGTGCTCACACTCTCTCTGCTCACACTCTCTCTGCTCACACTCTCTCTGTGCTCATACTCTCTCTGCTCACACTCTCTGTGCTCACACTCTCTCTGCTCACTCTCTCTGCTCACACTCTCTGTGCTCACACTCTCTCTGCTCACACACTCTCTGTGCTCACACTCTCTCTGCTCACACTCTCTCTGTGCTCATACTCTCTCTGCTCACACACTCTCTGTGCTCACACGCTCTCTCTGCTCACACTCTCTGTGCTCACACTCTGCTCACCCTCTGCTCACACTCTCTATGCTCACACTCTCTGTGCTCACACTCTCTGCTCACACTCTCTGTGCTCACACTCTCTGTGCTCACACTCTCTGCTCACACTCTCTGTGCTCACACTCTCTGTGCTCACACTCTCTCTGCTCACACTCTCTCTGCTCACACTCTCTCTGTGCTCACACTCTCTCTGTGCTCACACACTCTCTGTGCTCATACACTCTCTCTGCTCACACTCTCTCTGCTCACACTCTCTGCTCACACTCTGTGCTCACACTCTCTCTGTGCTCACACTCTCTGTGCTCACACTCTCTGTGCTCACACTCTCTCTGCTCACACTCTCTGTGCTCACACTCTGCTCACCCTTTGCAAGAACCATCTTGTCCTGAATGACACAGTGGGGTGGGGGTGGGGATGGAGGCGAGGCTGGAGGCCGGCTGTGTTCAGGGACTCATTAAACTGGATTTAGATGATTCATTTCTTATATTCATCCAGCAAGCACTTGGGAGACGCCTCCTGTCACCCAGATCCTGTCTGAGACCCTGAGATCTGTACCCACAGAGTCCATGCCTTCTAACAAGGCTGAGTCTCACTTCCAAGAGAAGAGCCATGGACTACCCAGGTTCCCATGAAGGCCGGAGTTCTGTTTTGAGGCCTCTGCACCCAGATCTCCTGAAATGAAGAACTTGGGAATGGTGAGGGAGACTCTGACTTAGAAGGGTGTGGGGACAGGGTGACTTGAGTTCTTCCCAAATGAGGGCTCTTAACTTCCAGAGCTAGGGGTGCTGCGGTAAGATGGGGGTGCCTGGAGAGAGGCAGAGACCAAAGACGAAAGTCACAGGGGCACTGGGGCTGGGCCTCAGGTGGTCGAGTGCCGAAGACTCACATAAACCAGGTGTGGTGGCACACATCTGTAATCTCAAGGACTCAGGTAGTGGAGGCAGAAGTTCAAGGCCATCCTTGGCTACTTGGGACCCTGTCTCAAAAAAAAAAAAAAAGCCTCAGGTCACTACCATGTTGCCTGCCACAAGTAACCAACTCCACACTGCAGACAATGGGAATGTGCTCTTGGCCACCAGGACAGACCTAGTGCGTTTGCTCCCTGCTGCTGTCAAGTCTGCCAGTGACACCCCATCCCTCCTGTATGTCTCTGTTACAAGGGGGGCAGTGCCCAAGAAAAGCTCTCAGCGCTCTGTGCCTCCCTCCCTGACCCAGGCATTGCCCAACATGTTCAGGCCCTGAGGCCAAGAAGCCCTGGGAAGGGACCCCCCCTTTCTTCAACCTCTGCAGGGTGAGAAGGGGGAAGGGAGGTGAGGATGTAGGCAGCAGTCCGTGGCGGGAGGGAGGGGTACCTGTTCCAAGCCCAGCTGCCCCCCTGAATTCCAGCTTCCCCTTTAGTCTTTAATTCCAGGGTTCCGGGGCTTTGAGACTGTAGTAAGGGTCTTTCCAAAGCTGCCCAGAACCTTGGGGGAGGTTGGACCTTTTATTGGCTGCTTACCAAGTGCCACACAGACCATTGTTCCTAAGGCCCCTGTGCCCTGTCTCCCATATCTTTACCACCTCCCCAGGGTGCTGTTCCCTCCCCCCACACCCCCACCCCCACCCCGTATGGAGCAGGTCACCTGGTTCTGGAAGTGGGACCTGGCCCTTTTCCTTGAACAACCACCACCCAGCGTGGCTGGGGTGAGCGAGTAAATGGCATGGCTTTAGTTACTGACGAGGGTCCCGACTGAGAGCCTGAGCAGAGTTTCACTGTCTTCTGTTTATGTGTATGAGCGTTTCGTTGACATGCATGTCTGTGTACTGTGTGTGTGCCTGGTGCCCACGGCGGCCAGAAGAGGGCATTAGATTCCCTGGAGTTACAGACAGCTGTGAGCCACCATGGGGGTGTGCGGAATGGAACCCAGGTTCTTGGCAAGAGCAGCCAGTGCTCTTGACCACTGAGCCTGCTCTCCGGCTGCAGCAGGGTTCACTCTAACAATGAAGATGTGTCTGGAAGCCATTCGGTGAGAGGAATGGTTTGGGGTTGTTTGGGCGTCTCTCTTACATGGCCAGCTGGGTGTTCAGGATAGGACTGAGACAGATCCTTCTACCTCATTCTCTTCCATCCCCTGCTTAGTCCTTCTGCACAGTTCACACTTGTGCCCAGTATATCACATCCCAAGCAGTAGAATGGGGAGAAAGTAAAAAGATTTCCCAAACCAGGCGATATTGGTGTAAGCATTTAACCCCAGAACTTGGGAGGCAGAGGCAGGTAGATGTCTGTGAGTTCGAGGCTAGCCTGGTTTACAGAGTGAGCTCCAGGACAGCCAGGGTTACACAAAGAAACCCTGTATCAAAAACAAACAAACGAAAGATTATGTGCTCCCCCACACCATGCCCACCCACCTTAAGGTCAGGATTTAAAAGCAGATCACATGAAGTCCACTCATAGCCTTTTTACTGAATGAAGTAGCACATTTAGCCTCAAAGAATGCTGGGAATGTAGTCCTTAACTGGATGGGCCAGTTCAAACCCACTTGTATGAAAAACAAAGAGAGAGAGAGAGAGAGAACTGATATTGGATCCAATTAGGATCTGACCCAACAGCTCAGATGAACTCGTAAAGGTTACAAATACAATTGTCTGTAGCAGTTGTTGTAACAGATGGGACACACAAGGTAGAAAAGGAGCCATGCAGTAAAATTGTCCACAAGGCCACAAGCCCCTTCTAGGTCCACGTTAAGTGTTTCCTGCATGTTCTCCTGCTGGCCTCGCAGTCCAATGGGTAGCTGCTGATGAGATGCAGCCAGCCTGTGTCCCCCAGTGGTTAGCTGCTGATCTGTGGCAGCCAGCCTGTGCCCCCCAATAGAGGCTGCTCTAAGCCTCCCTCTTCCTGTCTGCTACCCCCACCACGATTAAACAAAAGGTCCTACCCCACCTACCCCATGGGCAGCAGGGACAGCCAAAGCCCTTGGCACACAGCTCCCCGCAGTCCCGATGAGGCCATCTGAATAGTTGAGAATACATGTCCCAAGTCTGGGTCCCTCTACTGCACACATCCCAAATGGGAGTCCTCTTTGTGACCTCTCCACATTGCAAAGGAACCCCAAGTTCTAGTCAGTGGGAATCTCAAACAGAGGCCATTTCCATCTCCAAATGTAGAACATGAATCTGGGCATGGTGACACCCACCTGTGATCCCAGTGCCAAAGGGGCCCAAGCAGGAAGGACCGACAAGAGTTCAAGGTCAGTCTGACCTTGTAACAGGGGAATACTCTGTCTCTCTGAGAAGTTAGTGAGATGCTTGCCATACAAGCATGAGACCCAAGTTTCATCCCCAGAGATCCAGACTGAGCGGCATACATTTGTAACCCCAATGCTGGGGATACAGAGTCAGGCCAATCCCTGGGCCTTGCTGGCCAGCCAGTCCTGATACCTTGATGAGTTCCAGATCAGTGAGATACTCAAAAGCAAGGTAGACAGCATCTGAGGAATGACACCCAAAGTTTCCTCTGGCGCGCGCGCGGACACACACACACACACACACACACACACACACACACAAGGGCCCATTCAGGCCAGAGATCTGCTCAGCTTAGGCACACTGCCCCCTCACCGCTATGCAACCTAAGACAAGTCACAGAACCACTCCAGGCTTCAGTTTCCCCCCACCAGGTCACTGCAGAGAGCCAGGGAGATGCTCACTTAGCACCAAAGCTGGCCTGAGGTTTATCTGCAGTGCACTTAGCTGTACCATGTACAGTCCCTATTACTGGGCCAACACGATGGCTCCTAAAGACACTTGCTGCCAAGCTTGCAGCAGCAGGAGGAAGCCCCCAGAGATGTAAGTTACAACATACATTAGGAAGTTTCTAGAGCTGGCTGGTAACCTGCATATTTGATATCACAGGAGCAGAATTTACGAAGACCTTGCTGCTAACCTGAGAGAACAGGGCACTTGACGCTGCCGTTCACTTCACTAATGCCTCCCTGCCTTACGTAAGACAGAAAATTGAGGGTGGAGAGATGCGGAACTCGTTTGCCCAAGAGAACGCTTGCCCAAGGCCTCCAGGTTCTGGGATCCATACCCAGAACCACGGTCTGGTCAACAACAGTGCCCTGACCTCGTCAGGGAGGGCGGAGAAGTGCCCTGGCCTTTAGCAACCCTCCCAGACTCCACCTTTGCTGAAAACGGGAGACCAAACCTCATTTCCATCTCTGGGTTCCACTTCCCTCCCC